GACATTCGTTCCGGGAGGGGTTAGGCATCTGACTAGATGAACTTGGGCAGCTTAGAGGCCAGTCTTAGACCCCGCAGACCCCTCCCATCTTCCCAGGCCGCTCAGAGGAGGGGTTAGGCATCTGACTAGCTGCTGTTTGGCTGCTTAGAGGCCAGTGTCAATATAGATGAGCTGAAGATTTCAAGGATCAGCGCAAGAAGATGTAGCAAAGTAGTATGAAGGAACGTGCAAAGACCTGGAGTTCGAAAACAAAATAGGAAGAACTCCTTTGAGCATTTCTCAAGCTCAGATTCAACTGAGGAGGAAATTCAGGTCTCAAGTTATAATACTAAAGGATGCCATGAGCAAAATCCTGAATGATCCAGGAAGCATCAAAAGAAGATGGAAGGAATATGCAGAATCACTGTACTGAAAAGAATTTGCAGATACAGATCCATTTCAGGAAATAACATATGATCAGGAACCAATGGTGATAAAGTAAGAAGGTCTGCTGAGTTGAAGGTATTAGCAAAAAATTAGTCCTTGGGAATTGATGGGATACTAATAGACATTTGCATACCCAGCTATGCCAGGAAATGTGGAGGACAGCTACCTTGCCAAATGACTGGAAGAAATCCATATTGGCTGTCATCCCCAAGAGAATGTGGAGATTACTAAACAATATCATTAGTATCACATGAACGTGAAATCTTGCTGAAGATCATCCCAAAATAGCTAGAATAGTACATTCACAGAGAACTGCCAGAAATTTAGACTGGCTTTAAAAGAAACCAGCTGTGGCATAAACCATTGCTGATGTCAGATGGTGACTGAAAGCAGAGAATACCAGAAGGTTGTCTATTTGTGTTTTTTTGTCTATACAAAGGCTTTGACTGTGGAAATTATGGCCGACACTGACAAGAATCAAATCCCAGAACACTAAATTGTGCTCATGTAAAACCTCTACCAAGAGCAAAGAAACACTGCTTGATTTAAAATCAGGAAAGGTGTGCAGGATTGTGTCCCTTCTCCATTTCTGTTCAATAGGTATGCTGAACGAATAATTAGGGAAGCTGGGTTCTATGACGAAGAACGTGGCATCAGGATAAGAGGAAGACTCATCAGCAATCTGTGTTATGCAGATGATACAGCCTTGCTTGCTTAAAGTGAGAATGACTTAAAACATGTATTGTAGAGGATCAACGACTACAGCCTTCAATATGGGTTACAATATGGGTTAGGGTCACAACATCAGGAAAATGAAAATCCTCACCACTGAGCCAATAGGCAACTTCATGATAGATGGAGAAGAGATAGAAATTGTCAATGATTCCATCTTGCTTGGATCCACAATTGACAAAAACCCTTGGCACCAGCAGCCAGGAAATCAAGAATTTTGGAAAGTTGACTGTCTGAAATCTCTCAAGTATTGAAGAACAATGATTCCAGTTTGAAGACTAAGGTGCATCTGAACGAAACCATAATATTTTCAAGTATTTGCTATGCAGCTGAAAGTTGGGCAATGAATAAGGATGACACAAGAATTGGTGATTTTGAGTTGTGGTGATAGAGAAGAACACAGGGACTGTCAAAGGAACAAACATATATGTCTTGGGAAAGGTGCAGCCAAGGTTGCTCCTTAGAGGCAAGGATGGTGAAGCTTTGTCTCACATGCTTCGGGCCACTATGAAGTGCATCTGATTCAGGCCAGGTCTTTCCAGTCACTTGCATCTGAGAGCTGGACAATGAAAAGGATGACAGAAGAAGAATTGATGCCTTTTGGCTGTGGTTTTGGAGAACAGCCCCTGGATGGCCAAAAGAACAAGCAGATATGTCTTGGAGATGTTGCAGTTAGAGTGCTCTCTGCCTGGACATAGCAGATGCTCAGTCTGGTTGAGTGAGTGGCTTGTGAATGAATGAATGAGTGAGTAGGATGAGTCCTCCTGCCTCCTCCTGCTGAGGTGGGATAAGCCTGTCATTTTCACATCCATCTTACAGATGCACCATGACTCACTGTCCTATGAACAATGTATATGAACCCTGTCCTATCCTGTGCCCTCCACACCATCTCTCACATGTTTGAGGCCACAGTCATGGTCATTGTGCCAATCTACCTAATTGATGGTCTTCCTCTCTTACGGTGTCTCTCCACCTTTCCAAGCATGATGAGAATTCTCCAAGGACTGTCCTTTCCTTACAACATGCCCAAAATACGTGAGACAGTTTCACCAAGGAGCACCCTAGTCTCCCTTTCTCTAGGACAGATCTGTTTGCTCTCTTGGCAGTCAATGGGATATTCAGCACTCTTCTCCAAAACCACAAAAGCATCAATTATTTTTCCGTTATCCATAGTTATTGTCCAGCTTTCAGTTGCATAGAGAAGACCATGGCTTGGATCTTGTGCACCCTAAGTCTTTAAACAGACATTGTTGTTCCTGAGTCCCTTGGAGAGGTTCTTGACAGCAGATTTTCCCAATATGATTCATCTTTGATTTTTTGACTGTTGGTACTAAGGGTGTTGATTGCACATCCAAGTAAAATTTAATCATTGACAACTTCAATCTTTTCCTCGTCTATCATGATATTGCCTATTGTCCCAGTGGTGAGGATTTTTGTCTTCTTGATGTTGAGATGTAATACAGATTGAAGGTTGTAGTCTTTGATCTTCTGCAACAATCGCTTCAAGTTCTCCTCACTCTCAAGTGAGCAAGGTTGTGTCATTTGCATAAAGCAGGTTGTTCATGAGTCTTCCTCAGATCTTAATGGAGAAAAGATTGACGTTTTCAACAATTTCATTTTACATGACCCCCAATCAACATCTATGGAAGCAGCAGTCAAGAAATCAAAAGTTGTGTCTTTAAAGTGCTAAAGAGCAAGGATGTTTATTTGTGTGTGTGTGTGTGTGTGTGTGTGTGTGTCTACCATCAAATCAGATCTGACTGGTACAGGAGGAGATTGCCCCTCCTTCTCCTGCAGAGTATCTGGTGCATTCGAACCATGTACCTCTGGGATTGCAGTGCAGCTTCTTGCCACTAGGCCACCAGAGCGCCTTCAAGGATGTTAGTTTAAACAAAGGTGAGACTGACATAGTTTAAAGACTATGTTTGCTTACTTCCCATACATGTGAAAGTTGGACCATGGATCAGGAAGATGGAAGAAGACATGCTTTTGAATTGTGGTTTGGGCAAAGGGGATTCAACTGTCAAAAGAACAAACAAGTCTGTCTTGGAGGAAGTGCGATCAAGGTACTCTCGTAAGCAAGGATGGTGAAAGTTTGTCTCACTATTTTGATTGAGCATGTTATTTACTAGCAGCCTTTGGAAAAAGACATTATGTTGAGAAGTGTAGAAGGTCAGTGAAAGAGAAAAAAAAAACCCTCATCAGGATGGATTGATACAGTGACTGTAACAATGGGTTCAAGTATGTCAGAGATGATTATGATGGCACAGGACAGGATAGGGTTCAGATCTGTGGTTCATAAGGTCAGTATGACTCTAAGCTTGGCACCCAACAACAGAAATATTCCTGCCAATGTAATTTAAGAGCTACATTAACTAGAAGACCCTGTTTCCCACTCATTTTGAGTAGCTTGGACTGGACTGGGTATATATTTCAAACTTCTTACTGACCTGTCACTTTTGTCTCTTCCTGATTCAGCCTCACGATGCAAATAAGATGGCAGCTTGTGCGTGCTGCTTGAAGCCAAGACCTCGGTGGCATTCGTGGTAACTCTTGTGCCTGAGCTTCTGGCACATGTCAGTATTACCTTAGCCTGGGAAATGGGTGGGAGGGTGAAGGTCTTCAAAACAAACATGGTATGGGTGCGCTTTATCGAATTTTCAACTGCAACTCAGCAAAGTCGATTTCAAACAAACTCTGAACCTGCCGAATCACTTTCAGAAGAGGGAATACTGTCCTTGACCAAGACGTGTGATAATCATCAGTAAACTTTGGCAAGCTGCCCTCTAATACTGTAATAAAGTTCTGTTCATTTATCACCTTCCAAGCATAATCTAGGCTTCTGGCAAATTAGACTAAACCACTTGGTTCTACATTCAGCAGCAGGGGGGTGAACCTGCCTGGGGTTTTCCAATTCCCTGGGAAATCCACCATTCTGGAGGAGTTGTGTGGTTGTATGGAGGAATTGGGAATTCCAGGCACTGGGGGGCTTTGCGCTATACCCCAGTATCCCTCTACCTGGGCTTGTAATCGTTGGCCCGAGAAACAAAGTCCCCTTTTAATGGCGCTGCCATTATTCACTACCCCCCCTTCTCCTATTCACGTATGGCCCTTTCCCGCGGCAGGCCTTCACCATTGGCCAGCTACACACAACCGACTGCGGCAGCCAATGGAAGCTGCTCTCCCGAACATTTAGGGGATGGGAGCTTGTGGTGTGATGAGGGGAGGTTGGTGCCTGGCACGCGCCCCCACATCTGGCCCTACACACGCGCGTCCACCCGCGCCCCTGCTCTCTCTTCTCAGCTGCACGGGCTCCCCACACCCCTCTGCGCGTCATGGCACGCCCTGCCTGGCTCCTTGGGTCCCGCGGGTGCACCTGCTAACTTAATAAAACAGAGCATCCCATTTAGCCCAAGGCTTGGGAGGGGGGCCTGAGAGGCGCGGCTCAGCTGCCCACAGCTGAGAGGGAACAGGGGTATCCCCTTCCCCACCCCGGGGTGCGCGTCTCTGGTGGGGCTCCAGAGATGCTTTAGGCATAGCCTTCTTTGTCCCTCCAGCTGTGCTACCTGCCCGCTGATTCCGTCCACTGGGAGGAAGTGGGGGTGAGGGCCTCCAGAACATAACACTTAAATGGGGGCGCGCAGAAAGGAGGGACGCCCAAGGGTGGTGTGTGCAGCGCTCCCCCCCCCCTAGCGTCTTCCTTCCGGGGTGTCCCTAGGGTCCAGGCAGGGGGAGGGTCTAGGCGAGGCGCGGCCGCGGCTCCCCAGTCCCAGCGGTGGCGCGCCCCAGCGTCCCATCCGAAGGCGTCAGCGGCGTGCCCACTCCGCTCCATCGGTCCTCCTCTCCGGGCTTTTGTGCCGGGGCCTCAGAGCTCCCAGGAGGGTGCGCCGGAGGAGGGGGGCCGAGGTGAGCGCACCCCCTTCCTGCACGCGCGCGCACACGCTCCCGGCGCACGCACACACGGGGCGGACACACACACGCGCGCACACGCACATCGCTCGCCTGGAGCGCACGAGCGTGGCCGTTGTCTTTGTGTGGAGCCCTCGAGGGGGGTCGGGCCCCGGGCCGCTCGGGGGGACATGGCGCAGCCCATCCTGGGCCACGGGAGCCTGCAGCCCACCTCGGCCGCCGGCCTGGCCGCCCTGGAGCTCGACTCCTCACTGGACCAGTACGTGCAGATTCGCATCTTCAAAATCATCGTGATTGGGGACTCCAATGTGGGCAAGACCTGCCTGACCTTCCGCTTCTGCGGGGGCACCTTTCCCGACAAGACTGAGGCCACCATCGGCGTGGACTTCAGGGAGAAGACGGTGGAAATCGAGGGCGAGAAGATCAAGGTGATCCTGGCGGCCAGGTCCAGGGAGCGAGGGAGCTGGGAGGGGGCCTCGCCCGAGGCTGTGCTGGAGTGGCTGGAGATGTTCCGCGCGTGGCTGTGGCACTGCTGGCTGAACCCAAGACCCTGACGCCTCCTCATCAGGCTTTGCCCCTTTTAGTGACCCCGTTCTTCCCTCATTCCCCTCCCCCCCCCCGTTTTTTTTTAGGATAGGAGGGGATGGCTTTCTTTATTGGTTCCTAGCCCTTGGCGGACACTTCCAGCCTGGCATAGGGGGTTTGGGTCCATCCTTCTCATCGACCTGGAGCCAGAAGCCAGGCACCTGTGGCCAACGGGAGGCAGGAGGCAGCTTGCAGTCCTGAGCTGTGGGCTTGATCCTAAAGCACTTTGCCTATCTTAATGACCCCTCTACCACTTGGGTACCAATAGGCTGCAAAACTCACTTGGGCTAAAGACTGTCCAGCATAACTGTTTTGTTTGAAATGCCAATTTCTAGTTGGGAAGCTGAGTTGGGAAGCGGGTTGAGGGGGCTGTCTCTGGTCCAGAGCCCGGAAGCTTTAGAAAGAAATTGAGAGGGGATCATTGCCAACCCACCATAATGGACCAGACTCATTCTTCGGGAGCCATCGTCCTCAGGTTTTGGTATTGTCTTCAGAAGGTCTTTGTTGAAAAGGCAGAGCAACTCACCTGGGGGTCTGGGGAATCATCTTGGTCGCCTTCCCACACCACCCATGAGTTTATTACAAGGCCAGAGTCCCAATATTCTTGTGTATTTGTTATCACCTTTAAATCTGCAGGACAGAAACATTCTGTGCAGGGGGTGGCGGGGTGTGAAGAGCGAGAATGAGGCAAGGGCAACTTCAGGCATGTTGCGGATGGGGGCTAGAGGGAGAGAGTTATGGGCTGCAAGGGGAAGGGAGGCACCTCAAAAGGCATTAGAGACATTGAAGACTAACTTCTCTCTCACGGCTGGCCTTTTCTGGAGCTGGAGCCCCAGCAGGGTCAGGGTGGAGGGAGCCTCCCCTGTGGCGATCCAGAGCCCAAGAAACGGGGAGAATGATGCCACAGTCTCCTGTGCAAGACTCCCGACACCTTGGTTATTTATTAAGATGAATGTGTTTTAAAATGGCTCCAGAAACTGGGCCGAAGGACTCATTGCCAGGAGGATGGGCTGTCGGAGGCTGTTAATGGAGAGCGCTCATAACAGCTGAGCCCTGGGGGCGGGCGAGAAGCTGGGGTCTTGTTTTCCAATGGCCATCTCTGCCACCCGCCCCTGCCATTTAGGTGCTCCATTTGCCTCTGGCTCTTCCTAGAGTTGTCACACTGATGTGTGCTTGGCTAGGCCTTTCTATCCCATGTCTGACTTCTTCTACTTAAGGTTGAGTGAGCCTGGAATTTCTAACACGTGTCTTTTTTTGGGGGGGGGAACCCCAAAGTAAAAAATCTAGTTGTGCACAGGCCCCTGATCCCTCCAACTCCTTAATATCACTTGTTTCAAATAAAATCAAAGGTCCCAATGAGCCAAAGTGTTCCCTCAATTTAAAAGAGGGGAGAAATAAACCCACCTGAAATTTAGTGGGAGCAGAAGGGCTTGGGAGTGTGGGGGAGGTGAAAGGAAGAGGGAAGAGGAGAGAAGGAAGCTAGGAAGTGAGGATAAAGTGCAGGAGGGTCATCAGACAATAGCCTTGGTGGCACTGTAAAACTGGCCCTTCCCTTTGATGGCCCAATACCGAGCCAAACTGGATTTTAAAGTCTCTGCCAAAGATGGAATCTTGTCCCAGAGGGCAGAGCTTATGACAGGGTGACTCATTAGACACACAGCTCAGCACGATACGATACCACGTGTAGACAGATAAGTGCTTAACCCAGGCTTTTTTTGGGGAAGGTGATATCTTTGAAGAGGGCAAAGACTTGTGACCCTGCTCTCAGAGCAGCCCTCTGATGGCAGAGTCTAGACGTACCCAAAGTAGGATGTGGCACCGGGGCCATAGGTTCCCTGGTAAAACGGATGCACTCTCAGGGCCAGAGTTGGCCAACGAGAGGCCAGCATGTCCGTGGGACGATGACAGAGTGTGGCAGCAGCACAGCTAGGCACAAGACCTGACAGGGACAGCTTGTGTCCCACACTTCTCATGGCCTGGATTTCCTCAAGGAACGAGTGCCAGACCACTCTGTGAGGTCAGTGCCACCAAGGAGAGAGAGAAAAGACCAGTGTGAGAGGCCGAGGTAGCCCCAGGCCACAGCCAGCAAGAGCAGGCTCCAGGCTCCTCACATCGGGAGCTCTGATAAGGACAGTGGTAAGGAGCTGCTCTGTCAAAGCAAAGGCAGGCAGATTGAATCCACCAGCTGCTCTGTGGGAAAAAGATGGGCAGTCTCCTCCCGTGCCTCTGAAAACCTGCTGGAGGGTCAGCTATGGGTCGGTTCAGACCAGATAGTGCACAACAACAATAACAAGATTCCACACAAGAGAGTGGTAAAGAAATCTCGGCAAATTCCACAGTCCGAAAGTAAGGTGTGACTTCTGTTCAGCTGACTCCTTAGGTGCCCTCTTGGACCATGACTAATTAAGTGTATTTGGAGCTACTCCTGATTACTAAGGCAGCTCTGGTGGCCTAGTGGTGAGGCGTTGTGCTGCCAACTCAAAGGCAAGAGGCTCGAATCCACCAGCTGCTCTGTAGGAGAAAGATGGGTAATCTCCTCCTGGGTGATTTATTGCCTTTGAAAACAGGCTGGAGGGTGAGCTGTGAGTTGGTTCCGACTTGATGCACAACCACCACCATCACCACCTAATTGCCAGGGTTGTCTCTAGAGCTTGAAGCCATTTGGTGCCTCCTACCAATTTGTTTCCCACCCATCACAACATTTACATTTATGATCCGTGGTTCCTAGTTAATATAATCATTCAGAAAAGTCTATGACAAATAAGCAGTCATAATAACAACAATAATTGATTTTTATCAAATGAGGACGTTGGTGGTTTCAAACACTCGCTTTGACCCCAGCCCAGTGCACCTTACGTGTATCCAGCTTCCAGCAGAGGCTTGTATGTCAAAGGCTAGGATGTCAAACACGTGTCTGAGGAAAGTAGGAAGAAAGATCCTGGCAGTCTCCATCAAGAAAATTAGCCAGTGAATTCGTAATGGTCTGAGTTTGTACATGAGGCCACTATGAGGTGGAGGTGACTGAACAGCAGTTAACAGCACTATTGATTTAATAACGAAAGAGCCCAAGGCACTTTACATGCATTGTCTTATGTGAGCTTTGTAACAACTCTGTGAACTCGGTGCTAGTGTTGTTCACCTTCTCATTTTATAGCTAAGGAGACTGATGTTTAAACCAGATCTGTGGCCAAAGGGTGTACTCCATATGGTTTCTGATGGCTGACTTTTTCTGAAGTAGATCACCAAGCCTTTTCTTATGAGGCACCTCTGGATGATCTCAGACCTCTAACAATTTAGTTATTGGCATTAACTGTTTGCACCACTGACTGCTGTTTAGAGCGATACATCAACTTTCCCACTGTCACATGGATCACAGAGTGTCAGCCTTAGACTTTTTAAGCCCGAATAGCATCTCACTGTCCCCAGGATTTCAGGTACCTGCAGGGTCACCCATGGCGGACAGGTTTCGACAGAGCTTCCAGATTAAGACAGACAAAGAAGCAGGACTGGCCATCCACTTCTGAAACAAGAGGCTGTTTGAAAACCATAGGAACACTGTTAAATATAGCACTGGAGATGGAGCCCTAGGAGGACATAGAATAGGGCAGGGTTCAGGTCGTTGTTTACTATGCGTCATAATCGATGGATGGCACCTCACAACAACAATATTGCTTCTTGGTGACCGCTACTGTTTACCCTTCTCCAGGAGGCAATATAGAAGCTGAGGGGAAGGCAGACTCGGGAGGGGGGATGCCAGCCTCGAGGTCAGAGTCAGGGTCACTTCTAGGGCCAGGAACCTTGCATAAGTCTCTTTCAGCTGCACCTGGGAAACTGTGCAGTGTATCTGGGTCTTCAGGGTTTCTTTGCACCTTGACTGTGTCAGCTTGGATGTGAGAATCAGAGTGTGAAAGAGCCCTTGGGCATTCTCTAGGCCAGGGTCCTCATTTCATAGACAGGAGACAGAGTCAGAGAGAGAGCATGAATTGCCTAAGATCATCCAGGCCCGGCCTACAGCTCAGGCCTGAGAATGCCCCTTGCAAGGCTCTGTTATGTGTATCTGGCTGGCCGGCTCTGAGGAGGCAGCCCTCTCTGATGGGACTGTGTGTGGAGGTGCATCATGGGGGAAAAGCTGAACGTCCTTCCGGACACCAGCCTGAAAGTGGGGCTCACACAGCAGTTCAGACTCCGAGTGACCCTCCCCTCCCTCGGGTTTCTGAAGCTGGAAGTCTTTACAGAAGGAGACTGTTCATTTTTCTCCCTCAGGGTGACTCGTGCATTTGAACCGCTGACCTTCCTGTTGGCAGCCTGGTCTGTATGCGCTATGTCACCAGGGCTCCTTAAGAAGGGTGGATGTACACACTAATACCAGGAGCCTCCCTTAAAAACCATTCTGTGCCCAGCAGAGAGCACCATGATTCCAATCTGTGTGTATTTACTAACCCTTTCACAAGGTTTGTGTATGTTGGATATTGTGGTGTTTTAGATCACTGTGTGTACAGAAGAGAGAATTCAAACAAAATACTGCTGTTCTTCAGTTTTGTTTGTGGATTTGAAATTACTCAAATTTAAAATAAATTACTGGACTGTGGACATAAAAAACCCCCAAAAAACAAAAACAAAAAAAACCATTCTGTGCCCAAGAAAACCCAAACCTTTGTTGTCAAATTGATTCTGACTCCAAGTGACCCTGCAGGGCAAAGCAGAACTGGCCCTTGGGGTTTCCAAGGTTGTTAATCTTTGTTGAAGCAGAAGGCCTCATCTTTCTCCCATAGAGAGGCTGGTGGGTTCGAACCATCGACCTCTTGGTTAGCAGTCTAATACCTCATAGACCACTAGAGCTCTA